CTAATCCATCTAGTCTGATAGGTCCTTTTTAGTAACCAATTCAATTTAGTTCTATAAATGACTTCAATGCTACTTGCTTTTCTTTGTATTGTGTAGATACTCCTCTGTTACTGAAGGGCCCATTTGTAGTGAATGCACAACTCTTTCCCCATCTCCTCTTCCACAACACACACAACACACACACACACACGCAGCTACAAAGATGTTTAATCAAAGAAAGCAAGAACATAAGGATACAGTTGAAACCCTTCCTTTCATGCAAGACATACAGTTGAGCAGGCTGTCAAATGTTAAACCAGGAGAGAAACATGAACACACAGGAATGGAAAGGGTGAGAAAAAGCAGTAGAAATCACTAGCTAAAAAGAATTCTGCTTAGACTGCAGAGCATCAACAACTGAGGCTCAGAGTTGGTATTCTGCTCTGGTTATTTTCTTACTCATCCATCAGGCATATTGTTATTGTGAAAGGTGATGAACTTCTGAACAATCAATTTAACTGAACAATCAACGTAAGCCAATTGCATAACAAATTGGGATCAGGCTTCCTCAGCTTTGGCACTGGACCCCAAATATGGGGGGAGACAGATTTTTATGTATTAAAAGAAAACAATTAACAGGATATAAACCAGGATACAAGACTAGGTAACTTGACTTGTGTGTGTGTGTGCGTGTGTGTATGTGGCAATTGGGGTTAAGAGATTTGACCAAAGTCACACAACTGGTAAGCGTTATGTGTCTGAGGCTGAATTTGAATTCAGGTCTTCCTGACTTCAGGGCCAGTGCTCTATCCACTGCGCCACCTAGCTGCCCTTAACCTGACTTTTAATTGGAGAAAAAATTAGGAGCTTTCTAAGTTAGGAGGGAGAGAGTAAACAGGTGCAATTCCCTGAAATCAGAAAAAGAGGTGTTCCACCGCCTCCAAGTGTCTGTATTCAATCAAAGGAATAATGAAACAGTATCTGATTGATCAACACAGAGCCAGTTTTCAGATAAGACATACGGGTTGCTTGAAATATATAACCGTGAGAAAACTCCTTGCATCAAGTTTCAGATCTGACGGGGTTTCTGGTCAACATAATGTAGGTCCTTGGTTAAGCAACAAGTAGAAGCAGCTAGGTTACTCAGTGGATGGAGTGCTGGGTCTGGAATCAGGAAGATCTGAGTTCCCATCTGGCCTCAAACACTTACTAACTGTGTGACTCTGGGTAAGTCACTTAATCTCTTTTTGCCTTAATCCACTGGAAAAGGAAATGGCAAACCACTCCAGTATCTTTGCCAAGAAAACCTCATGGAGAGCATTGGTGTGCTGTGGTCTGTGAGGTCACAAAGAGTCAGGTACAATAAATGATTGACCGGCAATGAGAAGCAATAAGTAGAGGCAGTCCAGAAACACAGGGCTGGGTTTGAACAATGCAATAAAATTTCTCACAATTCCCATAATTGAAGAGAGTTTTATCACAAGACCGAAATTGGAGCAGATCCATAACTTAATAGAAAAGGAGCTGAGCTAGATCCAGAATTGAGTCACAAGATGGAGTCAGTGTGGTTCATTCAATTCCTCAATTCCCACACTATACAATTTGCTTCCCTTTAGGGTCAGCATCTCAAGAGCACTAGATATTTTCTAGGAAAGCAAGGATCTTGGGTCCTAGGTGTCTCATCTAAATAATTATAGGCACTAGAGAATTGGTTTCATTTGGTTAGATTAGGAAAGGAAGTTGCCTCTTATAAGGATTGGTCCCAAACTAGGTTCGTTTCTGCATCAGTACTCCTGAAACACTTCCTTTTTTATTTTATTTCTTCAAGTCCAAGAAACTCTAGACACCAACGCTATCTTTTTGCTCACAATCACTTAAACAGGAGCTTTGCTTCTGTCCAACTATAAATCCCTTCCCACACATCCTCATTCCCCAATCTTCCATATTGCTATTTTGTCTTAGCATGTCTGCCCACAAAGTAAGTTTGTCTGACATGAATTATGGATGTAGAGATTGGTGGGAAGAAAAACATGTTTGGTGGAAACTCATTCAATCTGAAAAGTAGGATTTTTCTTGTATTACCTCTTTTAGTCTTCTTCATTTATGGACTTGAGTGGACTCCCTCTGACAGCTCACTCAAGCCTGGACATTCTGTTCCTTTGGTTAAGAAGCAAATACAAGAAGTGAAAGTATTCTGTTATCCAAGTGGATGGCATTATTATAGAACAGACACAGCTACAGGAGCAAGGAAAACTATGAACGTGTTCTATTGTCATTTTCACTGGTTGAGTTAAAATGTTTGGAATGTCCACCCATATTTGAACCTGGACTTAATTTGCCGTTTCCACACTTAGCACTGTTTGTATTCTCTGATTTTGTGTAAGTTCATACTACCATGGACAGCTAAGAGTTAGAAGGAGCATCAAGGATCCAATCCAATTTATCATTTTATAGATGAAGAAACTGAGGCCCAGAAGGAAAGAGTAACTATCTCTTGTCTTTATTATATTTCTTTATTATAGCCCTTAGATTATCTGTGTCCATGTGTATATTTGTGTGCATGCCTATTTGTATTTTGTCTCCTCAAGTAGGGGACTAAGTTTCCCAAGATGCAAAATGAGAGAGTTGGACTTGATGACCTTAAAGATTCCTTCTAGTTCAAAATCTGATCCTGTTTCTATCTATCTGTCTGTCTGTCTATCTATCTATCTATCTATCTCTATCTATCATATGTGTGTATGTGTACATGCATAGTGTGGACATACATGTATATGCGTTATATATGATATGTGTACAGTCATATATATACACATATGTATATATAAGTCCCATTTCCCCATCAACTAGAAGTCAGAGACTGTGCATTTTGCTTTCCTTGGATTACAGCCTCTCTCCCTCTTTCTTCCTGCCTGCTCCCAATGCCTTTACATACTTTGACTGGAGTGGGTATTTCGTAGATGGTACTAACTATGTAAAAGGACCCAAGTTGAAATTGTCCTGCTTGACAGCTCCCCTCTACCTCTTCCCCCCTTTAACTTTTGCTGTGTCTGGCAGTGATTTTGAAATGATTACTTTTAAACAAAGATTGGTTGTGGAGGACTTAGCTTCTAAGTAATTTCTTTCAGAAGAAAGGTATTTCCCACATGGTTTTAAGTGATTTTTCTCCATGATGAGACTCCAAGGTAAGAGTAGTTTAAAAAGTAAAAGCCATTTCACAATAGATAGGTTGTCAAGGCAAGTGAATAGTTTTCAAAAGAAGAAATGACCTTATTTTTTAAATGCTCTAATACATGAATGAAAGAAATGTGAATTAAAACAATTATGAGGCATCACCTCAGATCCATTAGATTGTTTAAGATGGTACAAAACAGAAATAGCCAATATCAGAAGGGTTGTAAAAAGATAGACACATCAATCCATCAAACATCAAGCATTTATTGAGTACCTACTATATGCGAGGCATTGTACTAGTAATACAAATACAAAAAATTAATCCCTACTCCCATAAAGCTTGTGTTATCACGATGGATGAGACAATAAGTACATGTGTAAAATATATATAGCATATTATATATAAAGTGAATGAAAACAAATGCGTGTATGTGTGTATGTGTGTGTGTATACAAAGTAGTTTGGGAAAAAAGGGCTCTAGCATTTGGAGAGATCAGAAAGTCTTCAATCAGTCCCTCAATAAACATTGATTAAGCACCTACTATGTGACTACTATGCTATACCACTATTATACTAAGTGTTGGCTTCATCTAGAAGATGATGCTTGAGGTGCGTCTTAGAGGAAGAGAGGGACTCATTGAGGTAGAGACAAGGACAGAGGCAATGGAGGATTGCCAGTGGAAACCACAGAGATAGGAGGCAAAACTCATGAGCTGGGTTCCTACAAGGGAGCTATTGCTTTGGGTTCTAGAGATAACTGTGGGTCTGCAGTTTGAATGCTATAGCTTACAAGTCCCTACTCATGTCCTTCTATTACAATCATGCTGGTAGACAAAATTAGCTCTTGGCAAAGACATTTACTAAGATGTTCTAGTAAGAACAGTTGCTACAAAACATCCCTCCCATAAGCCTGTGGTCAGGAATGTGTTGGAGCCAGCTCAAACTAGCTCTCCAGAGAGCTGATAGTTAAATTTTCAGTGTGAGCGTTTACACCTCAGAAATTGGCAAACGCTTACAAATCAGGGCTTGATTTATTGTTTTGTTGACGGCCTAGACTTAAGAAAGTGATAGAGTAAGTGTGAATAATGAAAATTAAATATGAAAGTGTGTCTTGCTTTTTCAGAGAGCCCAGTTGTTAAATATTTACTAGCACACCCTCCCACAATACACACAATATCGGGGGGGGGGAAGAGTAAACACAAGACTAGTGTACGATGGTCAAATAAATTTGTGCAAAAGCCGCTCACAACTGCCACAGAGTATGGAAGCTCCTTCTCCCTTCTTTCAGTCTTCATGACAGGTGGTTCAGCTGGGTTTCCAGAGTCTGCTTCTCGTTCTAGCTCACCCAACTCTCAATTGCCAGGTAGCCCTAGCTCCTTGGACAGAGCCATTTCTTCCCTCACGTGGCTCTATTTCTGTATCCACATCTGTCTAGAGTCTATATCTCTCTCCCTGCTAGAGGTAATATTTCTTTTTGGTTGAGTAGCTACAAAGCTAATTGTGGGGAAGGGAGAGTGGAACAGAGAGAAACTACCCTCTTCCCTTCTCCCAGAAGTCTCCATCAAAAGCAGCTTCTGCCTTTCACTATTTCACACTTTTTTTTGCTCTCAGGAAAATGTTTATTCCAGACAGCATTAATAAACATCAAACTACTTGCTAAATATGATGACTTCCAAATTATCTTTCAATCAAACTGGCCTGAAAGTTAGTCACCACTTCTTATCAAGATTAAAAATGTTTCCTCAAATAATAATTATAGATTTTCTTAAATGTACAAACTAACAAGAGAAATAGAAACTCCATATTTATATTTTATATAGTAGCAGGTGTGCAAATCGTCAACTGTGCTTTTATGTATGGCCTGCTAAAACGCTGGCGAAATGGAAGATTTCACCCTTATTAAATACTGCTGCTTCAGTTGAGCATTCAGTACATTTTACGGGGTGATCTACTTCTTTTTCACTGTCATGATTTTCACCGTCAGACTTCATTTTCTTATGACCCTGCCTTTTCTTCTGATTCACTGAGCTTTTATATCTTAGAACCTCCTCTCTGTTGACAAAGCAATTCATCACAAACATAGCTCTGTATTGAGTTTTGTAGTATTCATGCCTCTGGCTGTCTAGGCACAGGGCAATTCAAGACGGCATCGCTCTTTGGAACAGCCTGTTGTCGGTAAGAGAGTCCCACTCCAAAACAATGGTATTCTCTTCTTCGTGCATCCACCAGAGCCTGATCTCTATTGTCTTTTTCAGAATCATCTAATAATTCATCATTTGTGGGAATCCAACTCTGCTGCTTTTTCTTCTTATTCATTTGTGTTATTACTGTGTCTTCATCCTCAGAATCAGAATCAGAATACATGTCATCATAATACTTTGACAAAACCATTCCAGTTTTCACAGTTCATAAGGAAGAACCTATTTCTAGTGATGTCAACTTATCTTCCATTGTTTTTATGGTAGAATTTAATTCAGTTTCCATTTCAGTTTCAAATTCAGCTTCACCAGATGATTCGCTTTCACCAATAAGTAACTTTCGCTTTTGGTGTGAAAGCTCATCTACTACATCTTTAGAACTGCTCAAAGCTGGTTTCTCATCTTTGCTGCGCTTTTCAACTTCCTCATCATCAGAAAGCTGGTTCATGGTGAACCTGCATATAGTACAGCTGGCTCAGCACAGCTGATCTGAGAAGCCACCAGGTTGTAGTTCTACTTTCTAAAGGCAGCAGCTAGACCCCAGGGCTTAGCTGTTTAGAGCCTTCAGAAGCAAGGCTAATTTGTTTGCTCAGTCAATCAAGTTGTTCCCTTCTGGACTCAACCAGAAAGGTGTTCACACCTCAAAAAGGCATCAAGGCATAGACTCAATTCTACGGTCAGTATAACACTTCATTAAAACCTTGTAGCTGTATTCTAAGTCTTCTTGGGACCATAGCAACCCAGGTCAGTGGGCAGTGGGGCAGAAGAAGGAGACCATCCTCTCTTACATAAACAATAAAGTAATTAAAAACCAACAAATCAAAGCTATGATATTTTGGCTAAAGTAGTTACACCAGCAACAGGTATTTTTGTTTTCCCTACAAAGGATAAAAAATGCATTCTACTTAGCTGATTCTTTTTTCCCCTTTAAATAATTTTATTATCTTTTTGTTTTTATATCACCTACATTTTCCAATGTATCTCTCTCCCTCCCAGGGAGCCATCCATTAAAATAAGTATACAAAAAAAGGAAAACAATTTTCTTTCTTTCTTTCTTTCTTTCTTTCTTTCTTTCTTTCTTTCTTTCTTTCTTTCTTTCTTTCTTTCTTTCTTTCTTTCTTTTCTTTTCTTTTCTCTTCTTTTTTTTTTGGTGAACGGAAAGGCATTTAAGTTCTTTTCTTCTTCTTATTCAGTCATTTAAGTCATGTCCAACTCTTCATGACCCCATTTGGGATTTTCTTGGCAAAGATACTGGAGTGGTTTGCCATTTCCTTCTCCAGCTTATTTTATAGATAAGGAAGCTGAGGCAAACAGGATTAAGTGATTTGCCCAGAGTCATACAGTTAGGAAGTGTCTAAGGCCAGATCTGAACACAGGTCTTCCTGATTCCAGGACTTGTGCTCTATCCATTGCACCACCTAGCTGCCCTTAGTAAATCTTACTATATGTCAAATATTGTACTAAGTGCTAGGGATACAAACAGAGATATTGAGAAAGTCCCTGTTCACAAGAAGTTCACAATCTAATTGGTAGAAACAACACCTAAAAGAAAGTTCATCTCCAGAGAACTCTTTCTTTCTTTTTTAAAAATATATACTTTCTTTTTAATTCTTTTTTCTCAATTACATGTAAAAACAATTTTTAACGTTTTTAAAAAGAAATTCTGAGTTCTAAATTCTCTTTTCCTGCTTCCTCTCACCACTCCTTGAGAAGGCAAACAATTTCATAAAGATTGTACATGTGCAGTATGCAAAACATATTTCCATATGAGCAATGTTATAAAAGAAAACACAGAGACCCCCTCCAAAAAAAAACCAAGAAAAAGAAAGAATATATATAGTATACACACACATACACACACACACACACATATATGATTCAATCTGCATTCAGACTCTACCAGCTCTTTCTCTGTAAGTGGATAGCATTTTTCATCATAGGTCTTTTAGAATTGTTTTTGGATCATTGGATTGCTAAGAAGAGTTGAGTCATTCACATTTGATCATTGTACAATATTGCTATTACTGTGTACAATGTTCTCCTGGTTCTGTTCACTTCACTTTGCATCAATTTATATAAGTAGTCCCAGGTTTCTCTGAAAGTATTCTATTTGTCATTTCTTATGGCACAATAGTATTCCATCACAATCATTTACTGCAACTTGTTCAGTCATTCCCCAATTGATGGGCATCCCCTCAATTTCCAATTTTTTACCACCACAGAAAGAGCTGCTATAAATATTTTTGGACATGTAGGTACTTTTCATTTTTATTTGATCTCTTTGAAATATAGACCTACTAGTGGTATTGCTAGGTCAAAGGACACGTACAATTTTGTAGCTCTTTGTAGCATAATTCCAAAGTGCTCGCCCAGAATGGTTGGATCAGTTCACAACTCCACAAACAGTGCATTAGTGGTCAGATTTTTCCACATCCTCTCCAATATTTGTCATTTTCCTTTTTTTTTTTTTAGCATATTAACCAATCTGATAGGCATGAAGTGGTACCTCAGAGTTGTTTTAATTTGCATTTATCTAATCAATAGTGATTTAGAACATTTTATATGACTATAAATAGCTTTAATTTCTTATGAAAAGTACCTGTTCATATCCTTTGACCATTTATCAACTGGGTAATGATTGATATTCTTATAAATTTGACTCTGTTCTCTATATATTTGAGAAAAGAGGCTTTTATCAAAGAAACTTGCTGCAAAATTGTTTTTCCCAGTTTCCTGTTTTCTTTTTAATCTTGGCTGCATTGGTTTTGTTTGTGTAAAATCTTTTTAATTTAATGTAATGAAGATGATCTATTTTATATCCCCTAATGTCTCTATTTCTTATTTCATCATAAATTCTTCCCCCATTCATAGAACTGAGAAGTAAAATTTGCTTATGATATCACACTTTATGACTAAATCATGTACCCATTTTGATCTTATCTTGATATACAGTGTGAGATGTTGGCCTATACCTAGTTTTTGCAAACCATTTTCCATGAGGAAAGCAAGGCAAACAGGGTAAAGTGACTTGCCTAAGGTCACATAGCTAGTAAGTGTCTGAGGTGAGATTTAAACTCAGAAAGATGAACCTTCCTGACTCCAGGCTCAGCACTCTATTTACTGTGCCACCTAGCTGCACTTACTACTAAGTATTGTATACCTAATCTATTCCACTGATCCACCACTCTGTTTTTTAGCTAGTACCAGATTATTTTGATTGTTACAGCCTTATAATACAGTTTGACCTTCCTTCTAATTTTTTTTCATTGATTTTCTTGAGCTTTTGTCTTTAGAGATGAATTTTGTTATTACTTTTTTCTGCTACATAAAATAATTTCTGGTAGTTTGATTGGTATGGTACTGAATAAGTAAATTAATTTGGTTAAAATTATCATTTTATTACATTGACTCAGCCTACTTTTGAGCAATTAATATTTCTCCAATTGTTTAAATCTAACTTTATTTGTGTGAAGTATTTTGTAATTGTGCTCATATAGTTCCTGTGTTTGTCTTGGCAGGTAGACTCCCAAGTATTTTATATTGTGTACAGCTATTTTAAATAGAATTTCTCTTTCTGTCTCTTCCTGTTGGACTTTCTTGGTAATGTATAGAAAGGCTGATGATTTATATGGGTTTATTTTATATACTGCAACTTTCCTTCCAATTAATTTTTAATTTATATTTCCATGGCCCTTTATTGAATATAATTTTTAGTGCATTACGATCTGAAAAGGATTCATTTCATATTTCTACTTTTTTGCATTTGGTTGTGAGGTTTTTATGCCCTAATATATGGTTAATTTTTGTGAAGGTGCCATGTATAGTTTAGAAAATAGTATGCTCCTTTCTATTTCCATTCAATTTTCTCCAAAGGTCTATTATATTTAGCCTTTCTAAAATTCTATTCATCTCCTTAACTTCTTGTTTGTATGTTTTTGGCTATATTTCTCTAGTTCTGAGAGGGAAAGTTGAGGTCTCCTGCTAGTATAGTTTTACTATCTATTTTCTCCTTTGACTCATTTAACTTTTCCTTTAATAATTTGGATGCTATACCATTTGGTACATATATGTTTAGTATTGATACTACTTCATTGTCTATAGTATCTTTTAGCGTAATGTAGTTTAACTTGCTTATCTCTTATAATTAGATCTATTTTTGCTTTTGCTTTGAATGAAATCACAATTATTACCTTTGTTTTTGTTTTTTTTTTTACTTCAACATAATAGATTCTGTTCCAGTCCTTTACTTTTACTCTGTGTGTGTCTTTCTGTTTCAAGTGTGTTTCTTGTAAACAATATATCATGAGATTGTGGTTTTTAATCCATTCTGCTCTCTGCTTCCATTTTATGGGTGAGTTCATCCCATTCACTTTTATAGTTATGATAACTAACTGTGTATTTCCCTCAATCCCATCCTCCCCCCATTCATCCTTCTCTGTCTCTTTTTTTATCCTCTCTCCTCAAAAGTCTGCTTTATTTCTGACCACTACCTCCTTCATCCATGCTTCTGTCCATCAGCTCCCACCCCTCCTCCTCTTATCATCTTTCCCTCTTATTTCCCTGTAGGGTAAGATAGATCTTTATACTCAACTGAGTGTCTATATTATTCCCCTTTTAAGCCAATCCTGATGAGAGTAGGGTTCAAGTGTTGCCCTCCACCCTCCCTCTTCCTCTCCATTATAAATGTTCTTTCTTTTGCACCTCTTTAATGTGAGATAATTTCCCCCATTCTACCTCTCCCTTCCCTGTTCTCCCAGTGAGTCCCTATTTCTCACACCTTAATTTTATTTTTTTTAAATCATCCCATCATAGTCAACTCATACCTATGCCCTCAGTCTACATATACTCCTTCTAACTGCCCTAATAATGACAAAGTTCTTAGGAGTTACAAGTATCATCTTCCCATGTAGAGATGCAAACAGTTTAACTTTATCAAATCACTTATGATTTATCTTTCATGTTCACTTTTTTGTATTTCTCTTGAGTCTTATATTTGAAAGTCATATTTTCTATTCAGCTCTGGTCTTTTCATCAGGAATGTTTGAAAGTTCTCTATTTGATTAAATATCCATTTTCCCCTGAAGAATTATATTTAGTTTTGCTTGGAAGGGTTTTTTTGGGTTATATTCCTAGCTTCTTTGCCTTCCAGAATATCATATAACAAGTCCTCTGCTCCTTTAATGTGGAAACTGCTAAATCTTGTATTAGCCTGACTATGTATCCATATTTGAATTGTCTACTTGCCATATTTTCTCCTTGCTATGGGAGCTCTTGAATTTGGCTAAAATATTTCTGGGAGTTTTCATTTTGAGATCTTTAAGGAGGTTATAGGTGGATTCTTTCAATTTCTACTTTGCCCTTTTGGTTCTAGGATATCATGGCAGTTTTCCTTTATAATTTCTTGAAATGTGATATTTAAGCTCTTTTTTTTAATTAATTGAGGCTTTC